CTTGCTTCAGATCTGTTTATTGTTTCTATTTTCTGATTTTTCTAGATTATCAGACTATTAACCACAGGACCACGAGATTGGGGTAAGGGTGGTGAGTTGTCACATAACCTGAATCACCCTCTGCTCAGTGTAGAACCACAGAGATGTCCTGACTAAGGCTTGTCAAGGCTGTGCCATCAGGATATAGCAGAGCTAGCCTGAAGGTCACACCCTCTATCAGCTACCTGAGTTCTCTGGACATTCTCATTGCAGATCTCTAGTCTAGAATTGGAGAATAAAGGTGGAAGTACATACAGTGGTACAGTGAGAGAATGAAAAGTTTGTGAGCGTACGTTTGCATGCATGCATGTATGCACCATCAAGTGACCAGAGAAGGCAGATGTGGACAGACAGAGGATGCAGGGCTAGAGGAATGGAGCCGTAATTGTGGAATATTTTGGCCAATTCATGGACAGATTGTGAACAGGAAAAAGAGAAGACTAGTCTCCATCATGCCAAGAAAGTGGTTGGATTTTTATCTTCTTCCTGAGTTTTCTTTTTATCTGAGGCACTTGACACATGGAGATGACAGGGCATGGTCCTAGTGGAAGGGGAAGAAGTTTAATTGAACTTGATGAATTAGAAAATAGCCAAGAAAACACTAACTTCTGCAGAAATCAGTGCAAGCAGAAACCTCCAAACCAAAATCATAATCATCTACATGGGTCCAGGTTGAGTACTGCCTGGCATAGATACGCTAGAAAAAGCTGAGAGGTTCCCATTACATAGAGATGCTAATGTCCTTAGTGACATCAGTGCAGTGTGGACCCAGTAGACCTATACAGCATGGTCCTCAAATTCCAGTGTGCCTTGGAATCACCCAGACAGCATGTTAAAATGCAGATTTCTGGGCCCCCTCCCTGAGTTCTGAGCAGTACATCTGGGGTGGGGTCTGAGAATCTGCTTTTTAACATGTTCCCAAGAGATGCTGCTGCTGGTGGTTGGGGCCCACATTCAAAGAACCGCTGTTATAGGGTATATGGAAAGTAGGGCAGAAAGTAATCCACCTTTCTGCTCTATGTTGTGCTCCAGTTCCTGGATTACTGTTTCCCTGCTTTGATTACTAGATTTGGAGAGGTATAGAGAAGAATAGTGGGTATGTTTCCTCACTATTAATAGTATTTTTGATGCTGAAAAATAAAAGGTTACAGATAAATGTCAAATGAAAGTGAGATATTTTAAATTTTCTCTGATGTACCTGTCTAGAAAAAGATTGCTTTGTGATGAGTTCAGTTGAATTTTAGAAACCAGAGAACAAAGGTTTTCATCTCAATTATCTTAGATGGGTTTATGGAGGCACACACACAGACCCCAACACAAACCACTCTTGAAAAGAAAACTGTCCTTCCTAAAAATTTAAGGTCAAAGATGTTGACCTTACATCTTTGTAAGGTCATCTACATCATGTAGATGTTCTCATCCACACATACAGAAACATTAACTTTTCAAGAGCTATGTAAAGATAATGATAATTAAGATTTTAAAAAGTGAGCACACTAACACAGAGAAAATATATACACAATTCTCAACTAGATACATACTGAGAATTCCTAGGAAAAGTTTAAAGTTCATATCCTTTGAATACAGATTGGTTATCTATTAACCTCTAACAAGAATAAACACTTTAAATATATATATATATATATATTTGCTAATATAATATTTATGTATTTTAAGAATGCTAAAAACACAATGACACTTATCCTTGTGGCTCAAAATGTCATTTACAGAGCATCAGCACCAGCCTCTCCTCAGAGCTGGGTACCATGTAAACAGTTCAGGAGTCCTAGTCAAAACAACCATTACGTGTTTCTTCAGTGTTCATTAGAAGACAGATTTATCTGCTAATTAGAGCCATGATGTATAAAACTATTAGTTTAATGATTCCTAAAGTTTGAACCAGACTTTAGTATGTGAGCCAGATACCAAAACCATCCAATAATCATTACAACTATTAAAGGGGACAAGAAAGTAATCTGTTCCTTTATTACAGCAGGTGCACAATCAAGGTAGAAACTTAAACACTGCTCAAAAACACCATAGTAGTCACTTAGTTATTAGTACCTTAGGTCTAAAATGGCAAATCATCCTAATTTTATATGATATATATATGACTGTGAAATAAAGGCAATTATTATTTTAACAATGGATGGAGTTTCTTTTAAAAAGTTTAAGAAATCTCAGAAATCTCCAAGTTACTCTTTTTTTTTTTTTTTGGCAGTACTGGGGTTTGAACTCAGGGCCTTGCACCTAGAGCTCTTCTACTTGAGCCACAGTCTCCAGCCCTCCAATATACTTTTATTGGCACTAAATATCTCTGTTCTTCACACATTCTTTTAAATGTCTTGTTTTAATCCTGCCTGAGACTTAAGATTATTCCTGCTCCTGAACTTTGCTCTTCAATTTAGGCTGCTAAAGAATGAGAGGATCTGCCTCCCCATATCTCAGGTACCAGGAAGGAAAATGGTCCCCTCTACCATCAGGAAACAAAACTGAGCTGGGAATGCTCTCAGTGGTAGAGAGATTGCCTACCATGTGCAAGACCCTAGGTTCCAGTCCCAGCACCACTTAAAAAACAAACTTGACTGTAACTAAGAAATGAAGAATTAAAGATTAAAGAGATAAAACAAAGTAAAACCCTGATTAGCTACAACCTGGGTAAGCTGCTTCAACTTAGTTAACTTCTGGTAAGATAACTAAATTGTCCTACTTACAAAGACAACTGTTTCTACTGAAAATAATGCAAATTCCTTGGTAACTAGCAATTATAATCATAGAATAAAAGATTACCTGCTACCCAGGGTTGCTGAAAACATGAATTTTTCATGATGTATTTGGTCCTGTTGCAAAACTAGGATTATTGAATATATGTAAGCATACATACACACACACACAAGCATACATGTTGAGATAGGTGTACACTTTTTAGTAATTAACCTCATAAAAACAAAGAAACCTTGTTGGAAACCACTTAAACATCCAAAAATCTTCACAATTTAAACAGTAAGGACATGTTAGAGTTGAACTGAAAAATCTCTCAGCTGCAATCAGGTATTTTGAAAGCATGAGTCAAAAGCAACTACTGAACTAGTATTTATAAGATCATTATACACTGAGCACGATACAAACAGCCCTCCTTCACATACAGTCACATCACAGTCACCTCTATGTAATTTTAAATCAGAAGCTTTGTCTTAACTATAGAAGCACAATTTTGTGACAGTAATATGTTAAAAATCAATTTTCCTCTACCCTCACATCGAGTGAGGGATGAAAGACAGCAGTATGTATGGAAGGGGCAAGACTTAGACTTTGGAAAACAGGCTTCTTGTGGCTCTGTGGCTCTGTGGCTCTATGGCACATTTCTTAGCCTCTCTTCTCAGCCTTAGTTTTCTTACCTGCAAAAGTGTGCTTTCATGGCTTCAGCAAAAGAACAGGTGAAACACCAAGCCCGGGGCTTAGAACACAACATGAGGTCAGTTACAGTATGTCTTGTTATCTTTGTGATTCTTATATTAAGATCTGCAAATAGGGGCTACCATTTCTACAGAAATATCATTGATTACTTTAAAACCTCATTATGGACATTTCCCAGCCCAAGTCTAAACTTACTTACCTTTGTTAATTCTCCCATGGAGAGATGCTATTAGATTTTAAGTGATTAAAAACAAACCAACTCATCCTATTCAGTCTACCAAGTGCATCCAATTTTCAAAAAAGACATTTTAAAGGCATCAGTTGGGTTGGGATGATCATACAGTGGTATGCATTGAAAACCCTTTCCCACTTCTTAAATATTTCAGTTCCTCTCTGCTTTTGTAGGTAACCTCAGGGAAGAGATGCAGATTCAAGTAGAGGATTTAATCACATCTATGCTACATTAGAAGAGGCTTTGGAGAGGTGGCACTGACGTGCAGGCACCAGAATGGTCCTGAGACCACTGTGGGCACACTATTTGAGGAAAATGATGAGGTTAATTTATTACAAGTGATTCCCCCAAGAACCCTGGACTTGCTTCCAGCTGAATGTTTGACGTGCTGTCCACGGTTGTCTGCACTAACAGAAATGATACTCAGACAACAATGAATTACAGTAGTTTAAAGTCAGTTCTTCTGTGTAGTTTCCCAACTAAATTTGCTTTCTGAAAACAGGCAATATAGTATTTATTGCATTTAAGATGGGGTTTTTTGGTGAAAAGAAGGAAAAAGTTAAAACGTACTTTTCAAGAAGAGCCATATGGTCATTCCACGTGTGATGTCACAGTATACAGCTGTATGTATGTATATTATACACTCACAAATACAATCACTAAAATATGAGATCAACTGTTTCAAATACATTTTGTGCCACCAACAATACAAATTGGAAAAACTTGGTCTCTACTATATAATTCTATTTGTTTCAATCAAGAATAACTATCACTATATTCTTATACAAGGTGGTGATTGCATATTTTATGATAGCTTCATATTAATTTATTTTCAGAATATATTAAAATAAATTTAATCTTTCAATAGATATTATTAATAATATTCCTTCTGTTTCCTGAAAACAGACTATAGCTCAATCAACTACAATGGTGGAGCTAATAAATCCTACTTCATATGTAAATCAAAACATATTATTTGTTTTAGAAAGTACATATTGAAAAAATTACTCTTTTAATTCTGGATTTACATGGCAACATTTGAAACCAGTGGTCTGGTTAATGCCACCATGCAGAGGAAGTTGCAACATTTACAGAATTGCAAAGTAATTCCCAGGAACAGCGATTGCTGAAAGAAGGAATGAGTTCACAGTTTCAGTGTTGGTACTTCCTACTGATTCATGTTGATAAAAAGGTTTCTTACAAACATAATTAACTATCTTTGCTGGCTTCAAGGAGAACATACTCTGTTGGATATGTGTTGCATGGAAAATCTACTTTGATTTTTTTAAAAAATGATGCCTGGAAAAAGTAGTTCTTTTTCCATCTTAAGAACTCATAACTTCTTTACTTAAATTTTTATAATATCATAGCCCAGTCAAATCTCTTTCTTTCCCACCTACCACTCCCTCCAAACAAAATATAAAAAACACACCCCCAAATAAAATACAAAACAAAACAAAATAATGATGAGCAGAGAAGTCCACAATGTTTTAAAAGGGTGACAACACTGTAACATCATTCTCACTTTAATCACTTAACTTTAACTAAATGAGGTCTTAGCTTCACCAATGCTAAGTGCTGCTGTGGCTTGAGAGAGAATCCAATGAAAGAATTTAAGGGAAGCATGTTAACCATCCTGGCAGCTGTGGAAGTGGGTGGCATAGCCAGTGTCTCCCCTAGGTGGAGGGGCTACACATCGCTGGGTGACCGTGCTCTCTGAGACAGACTGGATGGGATGCAGCCACAGCAAATGAGGCAGAGGGCTTTCTGGATCTCTTGGTTTCTGAAAGCATAAATGACAGGGTTGATAATGGAATTGTAGGTGGCAGGCAGGAGGGTAGCATAGGTGTAGATGGAGGGGTAGGTGTAATCGGCTATCAAGGAATAGAGTGTGAAAGGCATCCAGCAAGCAGCAAAGGTCCCCAGTATGATAGCCAGGGTTGAGACCCCTTTCCGGGTGGTCACATAGTGGGACGTGGCCAGGAAGTGGTGCTGCAGAGCTATCTGATGGGCGTGCCTCATCACAATCTTACAGATCTGAATATAGAGCTGAAGCATCAGCGCAAACATGAAGAGGAAAGAGACCGAAAGGATGGCGGTGTTGTTCTTGGTGAGAGGTCTGACCACACTGCAGGTGGACTCATCCCGCAGGCAGTTCCAGCCCATGACAGGCAGCAGCCCCAGGCAGATGGAGGTCCCCCACAGCATGACCAGCATGACATAGGTGAACGTGACTGTCCTCTCTGAATGGTACGTCAGAGCGTAATACAGCGAGAGGTAGCGGTCAACAGTGATAGCCAGCAAGCTGCAGACAGAGGCGGAGAAAGAGGCGACAATGAGTCCGATGGTGACCAGCTTGGTGGCTTCTGATTGAAGCAGGTAGGCAAAAACAAAATTAATGATGAGCCCAATGCCGGCCAGCAGATCTGCCAGAGCCAGGCTGCCTATCAGCAGAAACATGGGTGCCCGAAGGCTGGGGTTGTGGAAGATGATAAGGACCACAATGGCATTTTCACAGGAGATGAGGGTTCCTGAGGTACACAGGACAATGTCCCAGGGGTTGACGACAAGCTCCGGCTCCGGCTCGACAACAGGAACCTGGGAGGAGACAGCGGCTGAGATGTTCTCCGTGGCACTCGCATCTACATAATCCCGAGGCAGCCAGCTTAAATTGACCTTCAGGTCTTCATTCATTTTAACCCCTGTCCTCTTCAACGAAAAGACAGGCTTTTTAATGTTTAGGCACAGCAGAGTGACAATCCAAGATCATGCAAAACACAAACAGAAAGCCAGCCCCTACCTACACTGATAACGGTGTCAAATGCCACAGGTTCAAAAACAATACACGGTGGTGAAATAACACAAAAGCCAAAGTCTCGGTGGATTACACTCCATAACAAAAATGCCGTTTGGCACTGGGACAAACATAGGGCAGGACTTCAAACCACGAGAGTGTGCGAAGCAGGCACACGAGCACTCGCGGTGGTCTGTTGGCCAAAGCGCTGGGAACCCACCTTTGAGAACCGCATCTTGCCTGCTGAAAACCAACAACGGCTTGACATTTGGGCAGCTGCCGACAACACCACGCGGCAGTCGCCAGTGGCTAGCCAGGCGCCGCCATCCTTGGTGGAATATTTAAATGGCCTCGAACTCCCACCCTCCTAAAGCGTCCCTCGCGCGCGTGCACACCCTCAAACACACCTCCCGACCAAAACAAAGAGGGGTCCCACACGCTCCCCGTATGCACGGGACAGTCGGGGAGGGTCACAAAAGGCAGGTGTGTGCAGTGGAGGTGCAGAAACAAGACAGACAGATGCTCATGCATGCCACCGCTCCCCTCGCGGCAGGGACGCGCGGCGCACGCGAGGGAGACAGACAGGGCACGGGGACAGGAGCCCCGCGGCCGCAGGGGTCATCCAGGGGGTCACCTTAGCACGCCCAGGCCTCGGGGGGCTCCTCTGGTGCTTCCGAAGAGCGCGGGCTACTCGTGTTGCATGTCGGCGTTGGTTGGTGCCCGCGGCGGCGAGGGGCGGTGGCGCCGCTCGGGAGTGGGCCGGGATGGCGCGGGGCGCGCGCCCCGCAGCAGGTGAGTCGCTCGGCGGCAGGTGAGCAGCGGGCTCGCTCGCGCTCCGGGCTCTCCCCCTGCGCCCGCCCGGCCCACGCGCTACCCGCGCGCGCGCCCCCGCCCCGCGCGCGCGCGCCCACCCGCCTGCCGGGTTGCGGGATCCCCAGGAGACCGCGCGCCCCCACAGGTTCCGGCTGCGCTGGGGGCGCATGCAGGAGAAGGTGGCCCACAGCCACCAAGAGCAGAGAACTGCACAGCCCTCCCTGCGGCTCTCCACTCCGCCCCGCACGCTCCCACCCCCCTCCCCTAGCTGGCGGTTCGGGGCGGGCACCCTGGGCGGGCACCCTGGGCGGGCAGGGGAGAGCTGCCTGAGAGCTCCGTGACCTATTTCGCGCTGTGGCTTCCCAGGGGAGTCCCAGTCTCCAAGGGCCGGATTTCTCCATGCCTTTCCCTAAATTATTGTATTCGTGGCCAAAAGAATTGCTTAGGGTGATACCATTTTCAAGATCCGCAGGAGGGATAGGAGCCGAGCAGGTTAGGGCTGTGGATCCATAAAACAGCAAAATGCTGCTATGTGGATCCTCATTATCATTACCAGATTGCACTTATTAAGTGCTCTTTGAGCTGTGTTTTCAAATGGAAATCATTTGCAGAGCTCTCTCAGAAGCTTCCTGCACACTAGCCAAAGCCCAATTCATTTAGGTCCTGAAGTGGCACTGTTAATTTATTTTTCCACTTTACCACATCAGTCGATTCTAAGATTAAGAACCTGATAGCTGTGCGCTTTTAGGAGCCCAGTTTCCCCTGGATACAAAAACCAGAGCACCTTAGATCAGATCTTAAATTTAAACATGAGCTCCAGTTTAAAGACAGGAGAAGACAGTCATGATACTCTGTGTGAATAAGGTGGTGTGCAGGGGATAAGAGGCATTACTGGATTTATCTGAGCCCATCAGACTCAGAGCCTCAACCCCCTTGACTCCCTTCTTCCTACCTTTTCCTTCGCCCCACCAATCAGCTCCTTGCATGCCAGGCCATCAGTCTCACCTCCCCTGTTGCAGCCCTCTTTGTCTCTCACCCCTACTCCTGGTACCCACCTCCTCTTCTCTTTTCCACCCATGGAACACACTGTTGCCGGAATGTGGCACCATCTTGATTTGTACCATCTATTCCTTGACATCTACACCTTTCACTGCCCAAAATATTCTGAACTCTCTACCTTGGCAGATTTTGCTTTGTATTACATATAGACTTTTGTTTATTTTGTGGTGTGTCCTGTTATGTCCCCAAGAAGGGTCCAAGACTCTCTCTCTGGGTCTTCTGCTCTCTAAGGCAATGCTTCTTAAACTTGCTGTGCATATAAACCACCTGGCTTACAAAGCCAAGGTTCTGCGGTAGTGTTCAGATTGTATATTTGCAACCCCCTGCCCCAGGCAGATTCCACTTTGAAAAACAAGGTTCTGAGGCATTTTAAGAGTTGCTAGTACTGGACAGAAGCAGGGACAGGTGAACATCCACCCAAGAGCAGAGATGCTCCTGCTTGCTGCAGGACCAGAGACTAGTCAGCAACACAAGAGTCAAAGAAAATAAGAACTATTGCACCAAGAAATCATGCAAATAAAATATTTCTAAAAGCAGCACCTGAGGTACTGCACCCTTCCCCCTAAACTAAATAAATTCGTTAAAAATACATACAGAAAGTTCACAGATACTCTCTATGTGAGCAGATAGGAAATTCTATTTCTTTTTAGTACTGGAGATTGAACTCAGAGCTCTGTGCTTGCGCTCTACCACTTGAACCACAGCCCCAGTCCTGTTGTTTTGGCTTTGATTTTCAGACAGGGTCTCTCACTAGCTTTGCCCACGCTGGCCTCAAATCTCAGTCCTCCTACCTCTCCCCGCTGAGTAGCTGGGATCACAGGAGTGCACCAGCACACCCAGCTTGTTTTTCAGGTATGGCCTCACTACCTTTGCCTGGGCTGGCCTTGACTGTGATCCTCCCATCTCTGCCCCCTGAGAAGTTGAAATTTCTACTTTTAATTTTAGGCTCCATGTTTTCTGTAATAAATATGTAGTACTTTATAGACAGAAAAAGATGTTTATTTTTTAAGTAATATAATTTTAAAACACAGAAATATAGAAAGAAATGAGGCAATGGCAATGCTCACATGGGAGCTTTCCTTTCTTACATAGAATGCAGGCTGAATATCACTTCTGTGATGTCTACTACCTTCCTTCCTTCCTTCCTTCCTTTCATGTTTCCATGAAATGCATTCTTCCTCTATTAAATGGGAAGTTTAGAGTGAATTTCAAAAGGGAAAACAGCAGATATGTTGTAATTTTTCATAGGTTCCATAAATAGCAACTGGGTTTTACTTAGAGATTAACTATTAAATTGTACTTCTGACCCAGCATTTTTTCCACTTTTGCAATATATTTAATACAAATACATGCATATGTGCATCATGTGACATATATAAGAATGTTCATTACCTTTTTTTCACAATAGCCAAACCAGAGAAAAACCCATTGTTGATCAACAAGAGATGGATGAAAAAACTCCAGCATATTTGCTATGGTTTGAAGAGTTTTATCCCTTTGAAACTCATATGTTGAAACATGATCCCTAATGTGCTGTATTAAGAGGTGGGGCCTTTGGGAGCTGGTTAAGTCATGAGGGCTCAGCCTTCATCATAGGATTAGTGCCCTGATAGAAGAGGCTGAGGGAGCTTGGGTACTCCTTCCATGTGAGGATGCAGCAAGAAGGTATCATTTCTGAGGAATGGTCCCTCACTAGATCTGCTAGTGCCTGATCTTGGACTTCCCAACATCCAGTACCGTGAGCGATACATTTCTAATGTTTATGAACTCCCTTGTCAAAGACATTTCGTTATAGCAGTCCAAAGACTATTCTAAAAATGCTTTGATTCATCACATGGAAATTGAAAGGAAATGTACATTCATTCCTTCAGCATCTGCTCCCTGGTACTATTTACTGATTTTTATGCATGTGTCTCCACCGAGACTCTACATGCCTGTAAGCACAGAGACTATGTCTTACTGAATTTGTACAAAGGCCCTTCACTGGCTGTGCTAGGACCCAGGATCTTCATTCAAAAGAGAGGGTGGATGAGGGAGGCTAGTCCCTGGCTGGCCTCTTCTACTGGCTTTGATGGATGCCTGTCATGGGAGACTTGTTGATGTCATAAGCAAAGGAAGACAGCCATAACCTACCAAACCATTCAGGGATGCTGGTGTGAGTCTGGTATTCACCACAGCATGGAGAAGCTGTTGTCTGTGTGGAATTCCAACACCCTGTCTCAGCCCAAACACCAGAAGCATCAGGACATGGGGAGGCTGGCACTGGATTCCTGATGGACAGGGCTGGCAAGAAGGTGTCACCAACATTTCCACCTGAGGTTAAATGGAGAGGAGGAGGAAAAAAGGGAGTGCAAGGACACAGAAGCTGAGCTCAAAGACCAACTGGGCATCTGCGATACATCTCTGGGGACTTCTGAAATCACTGGAAAATGCTATAGAGGCATCTAACTTTTAGCAGTCAAGTCAGTGGAGCCCAGGCCATTATTGCTTGGGAGTTAAAAGAAAGTTCACCCAGAGTTTCATTAGGTCCTGAGTAGAAGCAATTGTCCTCATCTGGCCTTGTAACACGGGCTATTAACCCCGGCCCAGCCAGCGTAACACAAAACAAGAGTGATCTGTCTGCTCAGAATTGCCACAAACTGTTGGCCAGAGATCCTGGAAGGTTTCCTTCTGGGGCCTTGATACTCTTGCTACTTTGTGTAAGAACTTGAGGAAAGCAGTGAGTGATCAGACTGGTATTGATTTTGTGGATCAGTAACGATTTAGGAGTGCTTGTTGGCACAACTGGACTGCTTTGAATTTGAGATGCAGAGTTAAGCATCTTTGCAGGCCAGCTTGTTATCGCACACTTTCTTTGCAGATTGGCCTTCCTAGGGGATCTATCATTAATGTGTTGTGAATCACATGTCTGCCATCTCTCCCTTTCCTTGTGACCTACATTTGACTGCACCTGATGGACTTCCCTTTGTGGTCTAAGGGAAATGGGTACTGTGAGCCAGGATATGGCTTTTTCTTCGGATGAGGTTTGTAAATTCCAGTACCCTTCTTTTGGGATGTGTATTTAAACAGAAAATAGAAAGATGGGCCAATGGTGACTTGAAGTGGGGGACTAGAGTATTTTGCTGATGTGCTATTTTGCTTCTAAATTTTCTTCTGAATTGTCTTAGGAAGTCTACGGCCATACCAGGCTGAATGCGCCCAATCTTGTCTGAATTGTCTTAGGAAGCCAATTATAATTTGCACATTTTTAACTGAAACATGTCAGCATGGTCCCCATCCTGTGGTACTTCAAATACTGGCTTGAAATGCTGGTGAATGAAGTAGGGAAGGAAAGGGGGCAGGGGGAAATAAACAGGTCCCAGGGTGCTGGCTCAAGGCTAGTCCTGCAGCTTGCAGAGGACTTAATGCATATTCCCTTCTGTTCAATTCCTCCGGCAACACAAAGAGTTTGGGCACACTACATTTATACCCCAAATTCTGCACCATGTATACATAGGATATGACAATGTGTGACCAGAAGAACTCAGGCCATGGTCTTACCAGAGAAGAATCGTGAGAGCTGTGTTTTTGTCTCTGGATGCTGCCTACCCAGCCCTGTCAGAACCTCTTACTAAGTACATGCTTTGCTTGGTAATAAAGATGACCCGTCTTAACTCTGGATCATTGTACGTTTAACTGTACTTTCCACACATTCTACATTTGAGGCTCACATACAACTGAATTTACATTGTTCGTGTAAGACTCGTGGTATCCAGAAATTTGAGTTTCATGGTCTGCCATCCACAGCAGCAACATTAAAAAAAAAACAAAAAAACACCACCACCAACAAAAAACCTGATGTGGGATTGCCTTTTTGTTGTGTGTGTGTGGCACTGGGGCTTGAACTCAGGGCCTATACCTTGAGCCACTCCATCAGCCCTTCTTTGTAATGGATTTTTTGAGATAGGGTCTCACGAACTATTTGCC